TCTCCCATAGTCGCCGACATATTCATGGAGGACTTTGAGGAGAAAGCCCTTCTTACTGCTCCTGTAAATCCAAGGTTCTACAAGCGGTACGTAGACGACACTTTCACAATTTTACCATCTGACAAAGTAACTTCATTTTTAGACCACCTTAACTCCATAAACTCTAAAATACAATTCACAATGGAATTAGAGGCAAATAATTCGTTAGCTTTCCTAGATGTTTTAGTCATCCGAAATCCTGATAACACTATTGGTCACACTGTGTATAGGAAAAAGACCCATACCAACCGATATTTAAGTGGTGAATCTCACCATCATCCTTCACAGTTAGCTACCGTGAGTAAATCTTTGTTTCAGAGAGCACGAGGGATCTGTGACAGAAAACATCTGGTCGCGGAGCTTCAGCACGTCAAGCAAGTATTGCAAGACAACAAGCTTCGGGTCCCGCGCCTACGTCACAGTGAACGAGTGAAGCCGGCCACAGTCGAGCGCGTGCCTGCTCTACTACCATATGTTAGAGGAGTCACGGACAAGATTGGCTACATCTTGAAGCGAGCGTCCATTAAGACATACTACAAGCCGCTGAAGAAGATTAGTCAATTTTTAACATCCATCAAATGTAATATTCCTCTACAAGATGCAGGTGTGTATAAGCTAGATTGTGAATGTGGTCTCTCTTACATAGGTCAAACAAAGAGATCTATAAAAACCCGCGTGAAGGAACATATAGCTGATGTGAAGCACCGACGCTCCGGGAAGTCTGCAGTCTGCGAACATGTTCAAGATCGTCCCCACCATTACATTAGATTTGATAAACCACAAATTCTCGCAAAAGAACACCGATTCCTACCAAGGATGATACGCGAAGCTATTGAAATTAAAAAACATCCAATTTTCAATAGAGAAGATGGTTGGGTGCTACCATCTGCTTGGGATCCTATAATTAACAAAATTAAACCCAAACCCAAGCATACCACTGCAAGACTTCATGATACTATAAGCTCGTTTTGCGTAAATCGGACCAAAAATTAATATTAAAAAACTGAAGGTAGCCGGACTAACTATGACATTGGGACGTCAACATCTCAGTCCCCCCGTGACCATGGGCGCTGTAAAGCACCCGAAACGTCGGGATAATAATAAAAATAAATTAAAGTAATTAAACGCGATAAAATCCGTAAATAATAGTTTTATTCAAAGAGAAGAAAAGTTAGAAAAAAATGGTTCTTACTATCAAACTTGTGGCCGTAGTAGGAAAAGGGGAGATCTCCCGCCGGGCAAGGTGTTCTGCCCGGGGAGCGGCCAACACTCCATGTGATAGTTCGGAGATATTCTATATATACTGTTTATGATTCGGAATGTTGATAGAGTGATTTAGGCTTCGGTGTATTTCGCTTGTGGCGCGACGACAGCACCGCCACATCACCCCCCTGCTCAGACTGGAGGTCGATAGTGCAGCCTCGCTGCCGAAGAATGTGCAAGTGCCAGTGGATTGTCTTGTAGTCTGCGATGAGTCGAGAAGAAGGCAAGTAATCTGCGAGAGTGCCGTTAACCTCTAAACAGTGTGACTAATGTTTCCGCCATTTTGCGTATCTGTGATGCCGACCGTCGGCAAGCGCACAGACAGGGATATTATAAGCATATGTTTTTTTTAAAGTTGGATTTCCTCGATTTTTTTAAAGGAATGCTGTACGCTTACAATTAAAATATTGGTTTTAATTACCTATTTTGTATATATCTTTACATATTTAGCATATTGGTAGTTATTTGCCATAGAAACATTACTACTTAATATGGGGTACAGAAAATTTTATTGTATTTCTTGATAATTTGTATAAAATAAAACAATAATTAAACTGAAACTAATTTTAATTAACACATTACATATCTAAGTTTACAATACAAACCAAAATTAACAAGGTCCTATACATTTTTTTCACACAACACATGTTTACAAAGTTGACACAAAAAATACTTCCACTTAAAGTAAACAAAAAAGGGTCTCACATTTCTTGTTATCTAAAATGACCCTGAGCGAATGGGACAAAGACCTTTTGTTTGCAGCAACTTAAGCTTATAAGCTACAAATATAAATAAAAGAATCATGTTACATTCAATATAAATTTGAGTATGAGTGGAACAAAGATGGTATGTAATTTGACACCAAAATTAGTACCTCTAAAAACATGTCTATTTTGGATAATATCTACTTACAAATGGAAAAGAAATTATTGTTTCAAGATATACATTAAATTTAGTAATCAATTAAACAAAAAAAAAACAAGTTGTTTCTAAGAAATATTTCAAACATCAAGCTCATGAAAGTAGTAAATATCTAAACATTTTAGCCTCATACATGCTAGCAAAGTGTGGATACGACTTGTCTTCAACAAGATAATGACTAGGTGATTTTTGTAACCCTCATTATTTTGAAACATTATAGTAAACATAACGGGTCTAATAATGACAATCACTTGGGATACTACTTAATATGACATAATTTTTAAATCATGCTTTGTTCACGAATCACAGCAAGAGGTAAAATGAACCGGCGGCTTGTAGGTTGAAGGTGAAGGTTTAGGCAGCATGTTGATACCCAAGCATGGTTGGTCATAATTTACCATTGTTCGATATGTACAAATATGTACAATATACACATAATATATGTATATATATGTACATGGCTACCGATCATGGACATATATATACATATGTTACAAAATGCCAAGGAAACGTACTGAAAATTAGGTTGAGCAACCCCCCCCCCCTTCATTGCGTCCCTAATTTTCGTACGATCCCTTATCAGTATAATGACGTTTGCAATTTGAATGAATGACACGGATCTAGGTTCCAACAATTTTATGATGAGCCAAAATTTCAAAAGACAAACATACATATTATAACTCGTTAGAAACAAATTTATCACAAAAACATAACCCTCTATCTGAGGCACTACATACATACATACGCACATACATACATACGCACATACATACATACATATACAAACTATAGTATATAAATGTGCAGCTTTTTGTTTTCCAAATTTCCCATTACGATTTGGATGGTAACACCTACCTACTTTAACCTTCCCATTAAAATAGCGGCATACCCTTTTTACTGAAAAGGAGGCATTCCATCTTAGTCCTCAGGGGTGACGATGTATCCACTTACCATCAGGTGGACTGTGTGCTCAAGTACAAGTGTTTTTCAGATAGACCTTCAATACTAGTGCCTAAATACCTTGTGTGTAAGACAGTGTTTTTGTGTAGTTTACTGTGAAGTGTGATATGACTCAAAGCAACCAAACACACACAGGGGCACGTTGCAGGCTTTGCAAAAGCTTGATGTTCGCTTTTTGTAAACTGAACAACTACGCCTCTGGTGCTCGTTCCGTGTTGTTCCCGGGAGCAGATCGTATTGCCCCGGAAAATGCCAGGTGTTCGGCAGTGCACGGGTAGGTGCTGGTGGTGTGTGTGCTGCCAACAATTCCCTCACCAAAGTTTGGCGAAAATTTCGGTGAGAAATTGAGCGGTGTGCCTTGTGGAGTATGTAGGCATTTAGAACACTAGCATTCAAGAGCTTCCTGAAAAACTTTTTGTACCAGATTTTGTTCCGCCTTCTTTCAATGGGGTACATGGCGAGCATCTGGTCTTTGCGATCAACCCCCCCCCCCCATACAGACATTATAGTCTGGTATGACGGTGGGCTTGTGTGTATCGCCGCACATCGCGGTTGCTAGCCCATGGTATGTCGAGACAAATGCCACACGGTTTTTGTCCCGGTATACGATGAGGTCCACATCCCCCGAAGTGCAACCGTTCACCTGACCTATCGCCATGTCTTTTTTTCGTAAGATTCGTCAGCTCAATGGGAACAAACTGACGATTCGTTCGTAAGGTCCCCACGCAGTCAAACCCCCGAACTTTCAATTCTCGCGCAAGCGCGGGAGAATTGTAGAAATTATCCATCCAAATCGTGTGGCCCTTATGCTCAAGACCATTTAAAAGTCTGAGCACAAGAGCTGGCACTTTCCCAGAAACTGGACTGTCCTCTTGTGGGTCTGAGGAGGTATCATGGCCTGCGTGGACTTCAAAGCGTCACAAGTAACCAGTCTGGGACTCACACACCTCGTATGTTTTAATTCCTACTGTAGCTGCTTTGTTGCGGATGAATTGGTTAATATCTAACCAACCCTTCCACATGGTCAGACTTTCATCCACAGACACGTTTTGACCCAAAACATATAATTGTTGGAATTTGTTGTTAAGGTGATCCAAAATTGGCTGCACCTTAAACAACTTGGCCTGAGCCCGTGTCATCAGTTCAGGATCGCAACCGTCATTATCCTGAAAGTGGAGACATTTGCTCAACAGCATGAAGCGGTCATACGTCATCGCCGCAGTGAACCCGGGGGTACTGAAAATGTCCAGCGTGCTGTTCCAGTACTCCTCGAGACGTGATTTCACCACAATCCCGGTAGCGAGGATTATAGCGAAATACACGTGCAATTCACTTACGTCGGTGTCTTTCCATTTGGTGATGCGGCTGCTCGGACAGAGCGAACCGTCCACCAGCATGACCGTTGCAAGCTGTTGTGCATATCGATTCGTCTCCATGGCAATGTGTTCCATTATATCGCGATCCCATATGGCAGTAAATGCGTCATATGGGCTCGCATATGGAACCGTGGGCCCACAGTTTATCTGGGAGAACGGTTCCCTCCTCAGCTCAGGAGGAGTTTGAGGTTGCGGGAACCCCCTCCATTTAAAATCAAATTTATTTCCTGGCTCCGACATGGGACAGGATGGGGACGAGGGAGTATGGGTAGGTAAGGAAGGCGGAACAGAATAATCAGGAACATGGGATGTGGAAGGAATGGGACCGGAAGAGTTAGGGACAGGTGGGTGATCATTGGATGTCGGAGGCCAGGAAAAAGAAATAAATGCGTCTACTTCCCCACCTTCACCCTCATCCTCCGATGCCGCGAACATTTGTACCACCCTGGGGACTATGGTGGATTGGAGTCCAATTTCTTCTTCGCCATCTTCTTCGGAGTCCTCGTCGCTGCCTGTAAAATATAAGATAAAATAACCACATTGGCCGACTGTAATAATTTACGTTTTTTTTAAAATAATCTGTTACATAAGTAGTAACTTAATACAGTCAATTATTCTAAAAATAATTGACTGTATTAAGTTACTACTTATGTAACAGAATCAGTAACATGAGAGCTGATGTTTATAGAACACAGTACGGGTTTTATTTGTATTTTTATTAGCAGCTAAAGCAAAACTATTTTCCCTTACCATAATTAAGGGCGTTGGATATTTCAATATCCCTTAGAGGACGCGACGAAGATGACGAGGAAGTAATTCTAAAAGAAGAAAATAAATTATTAAGAATCAAAATATTAAGTAGACACTTCTGCACATAGAATATATATTTATTAATAGGCACTCACAGACGCCGTTTAGCCCCCATGTCATTGTGGTCCGATCTGAAAAAATAATGTTGTTTTTTGATTTCTATCGTAATAGTTATATTCGAACAGTTAACAGTTCAAAGTCAAATACTATCAATATTTAATAAAGCAATAAAGGAAAAACTTACGCATTTCGCTTTCGGGACGTTGGAGTCCGATTAGGTGTGGAGGTTCCACTCCCTCCAACTTCAACGTGTCTGTAAAACATAAATAGTGTTAAAAATACGTTATTTTTTGACCAGTTACGAAAAGTTTAGCTTCAAAATATGAATATAAGTAAAAACTTACAAAGCAGGTGAAGGAACTGAGCAAAGCTCCATATCAACTACTGCTGGTTGGGCCGCTGCAGCTCGGTCCTCCTGAGGGCTCAGCGGCTGGGTCGGGTGGTTGCCGGTGAGGAGGTCCATGGACGACCACAACGACACCGGCACGGGACTAAAAAGAAAGTTAAATTCAATGCCCTGCACGTGAATCGAGTAACAAAACCAACTTCGAAGTGCTTACCCTCGCCTTGCGGCAGGCAGTACTCGAGGTCGCCGCTGAGTCAGCGGCCGCTCTAGAGGCCTCCCCACCGGCAACTCCCCCACCATGCCACAGTAAACTCTAAAATATTAATGCAGAATATTAATGTTGCTAAAAAAAACGAAGAAACTTGTTAGTTGTTAAATTTGTTATTACGGATCAACAGCAGAAGGCCTTTCGGTGTGGCCAGCACCGCTAGTGGGCCCACCACGCGTCCGCGCACCACCAGTGTGCGCATGCGCCCCTTCACCACCAGTGTGCGCATGCGCCCCTTCACCACCAGTGTGCGCATGCGCCCCTTCACCACCAGTGTGCGCATGCGCCCCTTCACCACCAGTGTGCGCATGCGCCCCTTCACCACCAGCGTACGCACCACGCCCACGCCCACGGCCACGAGCACGACCACGTCCACCTCTTTAAAGAAAAAGCAAAAACAAAAAGCATGCAAACCAAAGAGAAAATAAACACAAAAATGCAAGAGATACGCGAGACATGAATGCAAAAGTTGCCCTTAGAGCTAATTTAGTAATGTCCATGCGTAACTTTTTTTAACTTACTATAAGACGTCTAGAAAATATGTAAATATTATTTTTGGAGAAATTTTTTGAAAAAAAAAATTGGTTGTCAAAGTTAAAAATAAAATTATTTATTTTTAAATTTATCATCGTGCAACAAACACTTTTTTGTCCCAAACAATTTTGGGCTTGGACGCTCTTCAAATGCCTTTATCTCGGCCCAGGTTCGTCTAAGTCCAAAATTGTTCAGGAAAAAATTGTTTGTTTGGGTGCCCCCCCGACACGACGCAAACGAAGAAAAAAAGAAACAAAAATGCTGTATTTTTATCTTGGTACCTACTTGGTACTTCAAATACCTAAATATCTTTGCTCAGGTTCATCCAAGCCCAAAACTTTTTACGACAAAAAGTGTTAGTATATGCGCCCTCTACATGATGCAAACATAAAAAATAAAAAATTACAAAAATTCTGCTAAGTTTTTTTCGCTCCCATATTTTATATTTATTTATTTTATTTATTTAATATTCTTTATTGCACACCATACAAAGCATACAGAAATGATATACTACAAAAAAAGTATGCAACTTCCACTATATCTCCACAGTAACTAAATGTTTATGCAATTAAAAGTGATGTAACATTACATGCAAAATATTTAAAAATAACTTCAAACAGAAAATACAAAAGCGTATCTATAATTTCTAGCATGCCCGACATGCCGCCGTTATGACGTCATCAACTGCCAAAACCCTGTCTGTGCCCCTGCCGACTGACGGTAAAGAAATAACCTTCACGTATTTAGACCCAAAATTAAAGTTTTCAAAGCTAAATACACGTTTACCATTGTCATCCATTGCAAATTAATTACATTAGTAGCTTAAATTCTCCAAAACATTACGGTTTTATTCACTTTTTAGACCAAATATTGCAGAAATAAAAGTACGTTCATAGTTCGTTAGACGGCTATGTCGTTGGTTTGGCCTGGTTTTTACAATTAAATTAGCAAAATTATATGTTTCCCAGTAATAAAAATGTGAAAGTACTTACCTTTCCATGGTTTCTCCTTCAAATCACAACAAATTTGATTCAAGAAAACTTATCAAAGGCGTGACAAAACCGGAGTCGGTTGGTTTGACAGCGTCCAATTTGAAGTGCCGATATTTTTTTTTTTACGGAGCAAAGAGTAACAGTAAAGCAGTTTGACACTGAGTATATATTATTAGTCTATGATTTCAAGTGTCGCACCTAAAAAACGCATCGTAGTTCCGTCGTAAAGAGCGCGAAAACATAAACAGGAAACGATGCCGACTGCTGGTCGGCTCACAGACGCGCAAATAATTTGACGTGCCGACTGCTGGTCGACGCACAGACAAGGGGTTAAGCAGAGGCGAGCAGTAAGGCTCAGAGCCGTGCCGAACACTGTATAGCGCAGAGAGTAGCATGAAGGAACAGGAAGCATTATTATTCCAGTGCTGCGATGAACCTTGTGAAGCTAGATGGCTTGCAGGATATGAAGACTGCAGTTTATATCTGCTCGGGAGCGAATGGGTGGGGTATTATATGACGATGATGAAGCTTGAAGTTTCCGAAGGTTGTTTGGTTGCGTGTTCAGATCACGTCGGGGTCACCACTGTGATGTTCACCACAAGATGTTCTATATATACTGTTTATGATTCGGAATGTTGATAGAGTGATTTAGGCTTCGGTGTATTTCGCTTGTGGCGCGACGACAACGCCGCCACAAACTTAATCGAAAAAAGGCGAAAAAATAATATAGAGAAAAAAAAAAGAAAAAAAGAGAATAAAAAGTAAGAAAAAAAAGTTGCCTAGAAGTTATCAGATATCCTTCTATCATTTTTATCCGTTCTTTCTAAACTTTTCTTAACATTATCCCACACAGTCTTTGAGTCTAAATCATTTATACACAATTCATTCAAACACCTAGAATTTTCCCTCAGTCTAGATTTATACTTCTCTTTCACATCTCCATCTTGTAACTTCTCTATTCTTATACACTGTAACGCAGTGTAGACACAGATGTCCGATGCTGCCAATGCTTGAATAGACCATTAATGATCATAAGGCCAAGTAATGATCCGTCCTTACGTTGGAATCTCGGTAAACACTTGTATCTACCACTACGCACCTCATTCTTTCATCCACAATTATGAAAACTATCATCACCTGTTTTCCATGTATACATGTGAATCTTCTTATGGCGAAAGAAAGTGTTCGTCACAAACAGATTCTTTCTATACATACGGTGAGGAGGCCTTCACCACTCTAATTTATACTTTTATTATAAATTTTTTGTTACGATTTCTACTGATTTATATAATTTTCCGTGTTGTCTTATATTCCTTCGGTAGGCTGTGTTCAACAGTGAATTTTTGAAAGGATGGTTATAACAATAATAAATTTTCATAATCATAGCCAATCGTGGTGGCGATATAAAAATATCCATCATCCTCATTTCGTCATCACAAGAGGCGACTATAGGAAATGAAAAAAAGATCTGATACTTAATATTGGGCTACCATGTCACATAGCTTCAATTGCTATTTTATGGGTTTGATATTTTGACTTTCACTACCAACAAGCCTTTCCATAAATATGAATAGGTTATGTAAACCTTTATGGGACCTTTGAGTATTAAACCAACTGGAGAGGCCATGCGCGTTAATTCCTAAACAAAAAGGCTGTCACTTTCCGGGGGAGGCGAGGAAAACACACTACATTATACTTCACTACAAATTAAAAATCGAATCGCGTCACTTTCAACGCATACTACAGCATTTGTGTTTGTGTTCATTTCATTTACGCAAACCATCAAATCATGGAGTGTAGAGGTAAAGAGAATCGCCTCACATGGAGAATAGTTGAAAAAGTGTCCGTCTATAAGCAGTAAATAACAGTTCAACTCAAAATCATTACGCATGTGGCATCGCTTCCGAGCGGTCGCATCCAGGCAGTCCACGCTTTCGTTCCTGTACGGTAGTGCTCTCCCGCTCTCGCGCCCCCGCTGTCCCGCTCGCGCTGTACAGCGCCGACGCAGTGCTCAGTCCGCCGGCGGCATCGTTCTCGGACGGTCGCCTCCAGGTGGCCCGCGCTCATGTACAGTACGGTAGTGCTGTCACGCTCTCACGCGCCTCCGCTGTCCTGCTCACGCGGAACAGCGTCGAGGCTGCCGGTGAGTCACTTTCACGCTACAGTTCTTGCCCCCCTGTCTTCGGGCAGGGAGGTCTGACTGACTTCCGCTTTTCATTTTCATCTTTCATTTTCACTTTTCATTTCATTATCATTTTCATTTTTTTTTACTGTCTCCTTTATTTTCTTGTTATTCTTGCATTATTATTACGTGTATAGTGTGTCGTAGTACGTCTCGCGATCTAGTCCCTGTTCTACCGAGAACAGGGACCCGTCCTCACCCTTACCTAGCCTAGCTTACTGACCCAAAATGGCCACATCCAGTTTCACTGAGTCACTCGCCGCCCTCATTAACCAATTCGGTTTAAATGGCAATGAGACGGTCCTCGCCGCCATCGCCACCATCGCCGCCCAGGCTCCCCTCCCTGCCCCTCAGGCACACCTTCCGCCGCCGGTAATCGCGTCGTACCTCGAAACGAGGAACTCCTTTGCCCCCCCTTGAATCTGCCCCCTTAGAAATGGAGTACGCATGCTCCGAGTCCTCGGCGCCGACCTCCCGGAAGAGGCCCGCCACTACTTCAGGTTCCGGCTCATCGGAGTCCTCTGACTCCGACGGAACCAGGGAGTCCACTTTCACCACCGTCACCTCCAAGCGCAACGGTAAGCGCGCCGCGTTAAAACGCACTCCCCCTATTTCAGCGGCCCCTGCCGCTCCCACAACCTCCGCAGCCCTCGGCGCTGACGCCGTCCCACTGATGTCACTAGACATCCCCACACCGACCAAACCAGCCTCCCGTTGTGCTCCAGTCCTTGCGAAGAAGCAAGTCCCGCCCCCTGTCTTCCTAAGAGACAAGGCAAAATTCACCCAGTTATCCAAAACCTGCTACGACGCAGGTATCAAGTATGATCATGCCGTCAACCTCGGGGAGGCGATCAAAATCATCCCAAGCTCGATCGAGGACTTCCGTCAGATCACCCGGCTATTCACAGCCGAACGAATCTCCTACCACACGTACGCTCTCCCTGAAGAGCGTAAAGTCAGGGCCGTCATCCGAGGCGTCCCATTTGAGTTCTCTAACGAGGACATCCTTGAGGACCTTAAGTCCCAAGGTTTCCCCGTAGAAGTAGTGCATAAAATGCACAACAGAACGGGCAAGAGATACAACCTTACCCTAGTAATCTTATCGAACGTGCCGGAGGCTAAAGCCATCTTCCGGCAGGTACGCACAGTGTGTGGCCTGTCGAGGGTGAAGGTAGAGCCCCCACATAGGTCCGGTTTCCCGGCGCAGTGCCACCGCTGCCAACTTTATGGTCACGCGGCGGCCAACTGCTCCGCCCCACCCAGGGCGTTAAGGCCTGAGAGTGTCCCCGGCCCAAAGACGCCGAATCCCCGCCCGCCTATGTCCTGTGCAACCAGACAGGACACCCGGCTAACTACAGGGGTTGCCCACGTGCACCTCAACCTCGCCCCAGTAGGCAAGCTCCACCGCCGTTGAATGACCGCTCATTCCCGGCCCTCCAAAAACGGCCCCGTCAGGGCCTTTCTCAGCCCATCCAGGGCTTCTCTCGACCCTCTCAGGGTCCCCCTAGGCCCCCTCAGGGCATAATTCGGCCCCCTCCGGGCTTCTCCAAGCCAATGCAGCCTCCAGTCTTTCCCTGGGGGCCCAAAAAAGGCAGACCCACCGCGGACAACCTCGTACGCACATGAAGCAGAGCCCACACACGACGACTACAACACGCTATATTCCGCTATTAGGAATATCGATGTTAGGGAAATAACCGTAGTAGCACGCAAACTGCGCGCGGCGAAGTCCCCCCAAGAACGCCTTCTCGTTCTTGCAGAACACAATAACCTTCTGTTAGCGTTGTAAGTTAAGTTAACTTAATTAACTTAACTTCAATGACTGAGCAAATCACTTTACCTAAATCTCACGGTCGTATCAAACCTAAGGGTTTATCGCTTGTAACATTTAATATTCGCGGCTTGCGAAATAACCTCCCAGAGCTTAAGCTCTTTCTTCGGAATCGTGAAGTCGATTTCCTCCTCCTACAGGAAACTAATCTCAAAGCTAAGGACACTAGAGGCCTTTCTATTAAAAACTTCTCTCTTCTTCGTAACGACAGACCCGACCGCCGAGGCGGCGGAACGGCCATCTATTACAAGAAGACACTTCATTGCTCGCCCATTTCTACTCCGCAGCTTACCAACATGGAAGCCACGGTATGCAGGCTAGCTATGACTGGACATCAGTCCATCCTCATAGCCTCCTGTTACATCCCTTCAGGAACCTATCCCCTCAAAAAAGATTTTGAGGCCATTTTATCTTTAGGCAATTCAGTCATTATGTTTGGAGATTTTAACTCCAAGCATACTGAATGGACATGCCGCACTACGTCCCCTAGTGGCAAGATACTGCTCGATATCACGCAGTCTCTTGATATTACCGTCCATAGTCCTCTCGGTGTTACTCACTTTCCCGATAACACCGATCATGTCCCCGATGTGTTAGATTTTGCGTTACTCCAAGGAGTTTCTCTCAACCTCAGAGCAATCGAGACACTAGACGATCTAGGATCAGATCACCGACCGGTCTCCCTCATTCTTGGCCATCAGCCACCTCCCCCAACACACACGAAAACCTTCACTAACTGGAAGGGATTCAAGGAGTCCCTAGCTAAAGCTTTGGACTCACAGGACTCTACCATCTCCCTACCGTCGGACTTAGATAGTCCCGAAAAAATCGACACCGCGGTCGATTCACTCTCCACCCTTATTAAATCCTCCCTTAAGGAGAACGAAAGGGTCGTCCCGGTTGCTAACAATAGTGGGCTTCCCCTACATATTAGCAACCTATTAAAAGCCAAAAAAGCTGCTTTCCGGAGAGCAGCAAAATATCCCACCCCCGAA